GGTCCCTGCCGGCCCCTCGCCCCCAGAACGGGCCCGTGGCCACCCGCTGTCCGGCCGGAGGTCGACACAAACGCGGGGGTCACCGTCGAGCCAGTCGGGGTAACCAGAACACACGCCACCCGCAACCAAACACAGGCCCTCAGTCATGGAAACGTCCCGTTCCCGCAGAGCACACTCAGTTCTGTCTCCTCAGGGGAACCTGACAGGGAACGCTCGCTCGTCGGCAGCCACAGGCAGCGTTCCTCCAGCTGCGCAGAGCCAGGCTCTTTCTGCAAGATACGACAGCAGAGAGAAGTGCTGTGGGATAGAGGCCGCGCTTCCACACATAGCTCGGAACCAACAGCATCAGTGTGTGTGGTTCTTCGACTGCTGCACTGTAATAAAGATAATAATCAAGAAGAAAAAAAGTATCACCTCTTCTGGAAGAAAAGACCTTGTGTTTGTGTAGCTGGTTATCAAAGTAATGCCACTTCTGCACTCCAAAAAAAAAAGCCGTACACAAGCATTAAATTCTAACTTGATAGCATTAAATCAGACTTTGGTTTGTGATTCCTGACTACAGACCAAATTCCTTCATTTATTCCTACAAGGATATACCTTGTAGGCAGAAAAGCAAGCGTTGTAACTGTTCCACACACCATGGCAAACGTCTTGCAACAATTTGGAGGGCCAAACTTCCCTGGCTGAAAAAAAACCAGCTAGTTTTCTACGCCCAGCCTGTCAGATACCTGCCAACAAGCAGTCACTCAGCTGCTGCCCCCAGAGCCAAACCAGTTATTAAGGTCCACTACTACCATCTGTGACAGGACATCTGACAGCTGGAGCTTAGAAGCCCCCGCCTTTGACTACTGTATAGATCATTAAGCAGCCAAACTTGATTTATTAAAGTAAGGAAGGGATCTGGGCTATCATTTCCATAATCCAGCCTTTTGTTCTTCTCCTCATCTTCAAGCAGGAGATAACTGCCTAATCTTGCTAGATAATGATAAAATGAATCATCATGGAATCACAATACATGAACAGATTTCATGAACATGCAGCCCTTCAACAAATGAAGGAAGACGTTATAGCCTGTTTTTTGATACAAAATGATTACGGTGCCTAGCAAATAAAAAGTAAAGTACAGCTTTAGGCAACTCAGCACATGACATGCTTTGGCCACGTTTGTGCAGCACCATCCGTAAGAAGACACTTAACTTGTGACATTACATAAGAACGTAAATTTCAAAATCTAAACAGTTCTTCAAAATTTACAAGAGCCAAAACCAAAAGAAGCCCTTCTTGTTACTAGTCAGATCACTTCTAGTTGTTTCGAAGTTATAGTATGCACAGTCTTTAGTGCTACCAGAATTAATTCCAACTTGCTTTTCAGAACACAGATTTATTTCCAATTATAACAAAAGGCCGATCTTGAAATAGCTAAAAAAAAAAAAAATTCTTCCACAAGTATAAACCAGTTATATACATCCTCACTGAAGGCACTACAGTTTAAAATTCTCTGTACAGTTGCAGTAAAATTCGAAGTCACCTCCAGAATAAAGTCTTGTCTTTAAAGATCCAAAACAAGATTTGCAGCAAATTGCAACACGGGCACAGTGTCAGGGAGTTGCTCTGTTAAATTTTTATAGTGTAAACAACCGGATGCAAAAATCTCAAGTCCAATATGTTTTCTATACATAAAATGCTCACCATATTATGATCCTTTAATGAAAACAGTTGTCAGTCGAATTCTCTGTTGCTATAAATATAGCTGAGCAGTCCTTTAGAATATTTTTGTGAGTTTATGTTCTCATGGCAACATCGAGCAAACTGGTACGGTACAGTCCAAACACCAAAAAGCCTCTAGATTTTCATATTATTTCAAGGAATTCTACTGTGATTATTTACAAGATGAAGTGATTCTTGTTGCCTTATTAGTTTGCTTAGATATAGGACTTTAAATATTTTAATAATTACTATGCCATACAGATTTGGCACTGCATATTGGTTAATTTCTGCATGTCTTACATAGTGTTTCAACATCAAGATGTAAGTAGAATAGAAAAATCCTTTCTTAAAAGTGTTACTTCATTGCTTTATTAAAAAATGATAGATTTATATGAAGTACTAATAGCTTAATGCAACAGCTTGAAAAAAAGGATTTTTTCCATTTGCTAGCAACTTACAACACTGGTTTTACAGTTAAGGTTGCTTTTCCTGTACAGAATTATGCAGAATTTAACAAATGCACATCCACTACTTCTAGAGAAATTGATACTTATGAATGTAGATAAGGATTCTTAAATAAAGAATATAAACTAAATAATGCTGATAATCACATGAAATCAGCCAAAAACCATATCCAGTTTAGATACAGAGCAAGATGCAGTTATGGGACATTTTGAATAAAGACTTTAAGGATTTAGGTATAATAGAAAAACTGTCATTCTGCAAGTCTCCTACTTTTTTTTATCTGCAAGGCTTCCACTTTTTTATTAGTCCCTCAAATCTCTTAGAAGTCCTTAACCAATTTGTTTTTGTTTGGTTTAATCACAGTACCAAGAACTGATAAAAAATAAAAAAAAAGTTGAATTACAAATAAGATAGCTGTGAAAGATTTCTCTTCAGTGCATAGGAACAAGGCTGAACAGCTCTACACAATGCGTCCAACTGTTGTGTGAAGAATCCCTTGTCACTAACGCATTGTTTTCAAGAATATACACACCCCTCCATGTAAATAAGCAGCCCCAGATTTTCTAACAAACATTTCAATTGGGTCATTATCTGCCCAATGATCTTGAATGTCCCATTGTTTGATACAGACAATTATACCATTGATTTGCAATTACATGTTTAAGTAGAAAGCACAGCCAAAGTCTTGAAATACAAAAAAGTTCTTACAAAAAACAACCAAAAACTATGGTACAGAGACAGGTGCAGTTACTGTGTCTCAATCTGAAAAGTGTGATGCATACCAGCAGATTATTAATATATCTTTGCTTTAAAAGGAATGGGGTTTCCAGTCTCTTCCCTTCTAACCCACGTAAGTGTAGTCCAAGATTGCCAAAGCCCATGGTAATGAGCGTGCCTTGACGACCCTTGAAATCGCCATAGCTTTGACAACAACAAGATGTACTAGTTGTCTCCTTCAACCCTTCTCTTACGAACTGTAACAAGAGAGAAAAAAACAAGTTTTACTATTTTATCACTGTGACTACTTTTCATATTTCTACAACATCAACAGTTAAGGAAATCACATTAGTGGTTCCGTACTTTGCTGCCTAAGTTTCACGTAGTACAACTTAAGGTAATTAACATTTAGTATTATCCACTATTTTTAAGCTTATGCTTTCGCAGCGCTTATTGTGTTATTCATGAACAGCTTCAAATATTTGTGAGGAGAGACTTGTGGGAAACATTAATAATTTTATGTTTGGTAAGCAGATTTAGCTAGTACTCTTTTTTTACACTGCAGTTTTCTAGTAGTGAATTAAGCTTACATGGCTTCAGAAGGAACTGTACAAGAGTTTTTACAGCATATCTAATATGATTCATACACTTTGCAAAAAATATGTTATGTTCAATAGCCTAAAACATTCCATTTATTAATAAAAAAATATTCATGTCAGAAAATGCAAGAGGAACAAAAATGCGCGAATAAAATCACTACACCACACATGCTGTTTAGACTTAAGAATACACAAGACTGACTGAATGACTGGAGTTTTCAGCAATATTTGTAGTATTTTTAATTGATATTTTCTATTTCCCCTATTGAGTTTTCCTTTTCTGTGCTGACACAACAAATGAGGGATGAGTCTTAGAAATTATATAGGGCATCTCCATGTTGTTTCAAGAAGTGGAGCAAGCACATCTATACAAGAAAGTGATTCTATTCTCAAATCCACTAATTGGAAATTATGTAGTTTTACAGGTATTTGCAATTCGAGTTGATGATCTTTACCTTCAGATCAAAATAATGGCGGAAGGCTGTTTTGTTTCCTCCCTCTTCCTGTCTCAAGAAATGCTTTACATACAGTCTAAAGAAACAGTTCAAATGGAATCACACTAGAGTTTTACTCTTTACAAAGCCAACGCATTGCTTAATTTGAGAGTAACCCATAGACTTATCTCCATTTGAATCCAAATCGTTTTCATCACTGACTGAAGTTATGCACACCTGCTTTATCAAATTGCAAGAACAGATGGAAGAGTTTCCAACCTTGGACTTCTCCAGTCACGTAGTTAAAAGCAACATGTACACAGTTCCAGGCAAAGAAAAGGGAAGCAGTACAACACAGTGTAAACAAGGAAGAAAAGTGATGTAGACTGGTTTTGTACAGGAAACATACAAAGACAGAAATGAGAGACTTTGAACATCTTGGTTTTCAGTGCTCAGTACCCAGCTGGGTATTCAGAGTAACCTGTCTTGGTAGCTTCAGGGCTGGAGAGATGAAAAGGTATTTGCAGAAACTTTTACTCGCATACTCCAGACTAAGAAAGCAAAGAAAAAGAGGCAAAGTATCAATAGAAAAGGTATTTGCAGAAACTTTTACTCGCATACTCCAGACTAAGAAAGCAAAGAAAAAGAGGCAAAGTATCAATAGAAGCATAGATTTCCAAAAGTCGAACACTAAAATGAGAACTAGTGGAAAGGGAAACCTTAAAGGAATGTAGAGACACCTGAAGCATTGTGATGAAACAGTAACTGGTTTAGAACCTATTTTGAGAAACAGTTATGCAGTGTCTGAGTGCCTTTCTTCTCTCTCTCTGCTCTATTCTGTTACTCCTCCTCTATCTTTTTCATTTGTTCTCCTCCAGTTAAAACTTTACTCCGAGAGGAAGGAGATCTTTAAACCAAATTCCAATTTCCTATGTCACTCCCTCCAATGTATTCCTGAACTACTGCTAACAATACTGAACTGCCTGGCCCATTTTCACACTGATGAGATCCATAATACTTACCACAAAGCACCTGAAGCCAAAAAGATTAATTAAATGGAGTTTTAAAATGTAGTTCTATTTAAATAGATGTTCCATATGATCTTGTTGTAGTTGAGAGCTTCAAATATTTGACATTATTATATTTCCATTCACGCGCTATAATATTAACCAATTTTCTGCTGGTCCATTTAGTTAGGATTCTAACAGATGAGCTGCAACAAAACTTACTGCAGCAAATAAAGATGCTGCTGCTACCAGCTGTCTTTAGGAGAGGCAGGGAAGGTATCTGTGCATGAACAGAATCGTAAGGGAAGAGACGACCCAGTCCCAGCCTCTGTACGTGACAGTACGTTCAGTTTCCTTGCCAAAGCAATCCAAGTGAGACTGGGTGTACTGGCATTGAAGAGGGCATCCTGCATTATTAATTTCAAGTACTGCTTTTGAAGAAACGATGAATCTTATCTGAATAAAACTGAATAATCAAAACTATTATTTTCCCTCCCTTTGCCACAACTCATGTGGAATTTGAATGTTCTTGTTCTAGACTATGCTAAAACTATGCTAAAAATCCCCAACTCGTATACCTGAACACCCTGCAACAAAATAAAGAGAGAACATCAAACAGCAGCAGAAGAGTGGAAGTAAAGGACAGGAGAAATCTGAAACTGATCTACTCGTATTTTGCTATCCTGGTTACGTCAACAGAAAAACCAGACACCTTTAAAACCTGTGCCACACACACATTCATTTAATAGTCTCTCTCTAGACTAGATGACCCACAGAGGTCCCTTCCAACCCCTACCATTCTGTGATTCTACCGACAGCTCTTACCCAAATCATTATTTTTCGTGATAGCTGCAGCTGCCCTGGCTCGAGGTCCCTGTTGTGTGAAGTGGTATCCAAACTTGAGGATCTTGATGTTTTCTTCAAGCATCTTGGCAATTTCTACTTCTGCAACTGTGCCCAGCTGCTGCCTCTGTTAAAATAAAAGGTACACAAAGACAACAGAGCTTATGTGTATTCACCCTAAAAGAGATCAGAACACTTTCATCACATTAGTCAATAACACTTAGCTTCATTTGGATTAATCTAAAAGGCAGAAGGTCAGAAAATACATTTGTGCACTTTAAAGCACAAGCAAGCACAGAACTGACCAGGAATCGACTTCAACTGCAGGCCTCTGGGAATCTTAAGGGCAATCATTCATGGGGTTAAGATGTTGAAAACTAAAATATTTTTGAAAGTTTATCACAAGCTGCCTTCTAAAAATATTCAGTCAACTAGGATAGACTGATTTGAATTATGATATTAGTACCACCTTGCTTACCTGATTATCGATTTTGATCTCTGTCAATGTTTCATTGTCTTTCAGTGCATCGACCAGTGCCAAAATTCCAACTCCAGTGATGAAGTTTGATTCTACGTTTAAACTGTTTAATTTTGTGTTTACTCTCAGCATATCTGCAAGAGCCTTTGAATGCAAGAAGCCATCATTAAACTTTTTAGTTTTGCTGCAGTACATCATAGGACACAGTGACAATCATTTCCACTAACTAGTTCAATAGGACCAACAAGTTCAGACACATACTGTGACTTTGCAAGTTTTCACTCACTATTTAAGATTGAAGTGAGTGCTCAACAAGGCAGTATCTACATTGACTTTTTTATTAGTATTTAGTCAAGAAAAGGCCTGTCTCACTCTTGTTACAAACTAAAAAGCTACACAGAATATAAATTGTCTGAAATTAGCATATTGGACCAATTCCATTTTGTAGGCCTTCACAGCATACAATGAGTAATGTAAACTGCTAAGTAGAGACCAAAGAAAGGGCATTAGTCAACCAAAAGGAGAATTAATGTGGTTAATCTGTAAACAGGAGATCCGACTTTCAAAATGCTTATGGCTACAGATTTGGTAGGAAGCAGTAAAATTTAAAGCTCTAAGCACAGTACTAGCACGTAGCTAGAAGCACTCTTATGGGAATGGCATGTACCTGATCTTAGTTCTGAGAAAACAAGAAAACAAGAATAGGTAACTGCTGAGGTTTACTGCCAAAAAATCATAACATTTAAATTTTTTTTTGTAACAAGTCACAATGCAAAAAAACCCCAACAAACCACACCCAAGAAAACAAGCCTTTACAGATTTTTTTAATCACAAATGTTTCAGTTCTAATGAAAAGGAACTTTTTAATTAACCCAGAACAAAGCTTTCAAGCATTCACTTGTTAATTTAACTGAATGTTTCCAACTAGTTTTCTTTCTAATTTGAAATTAAAACAAATGCAAAGGATTGTCCTGGAAAAACAGTTAGTGCTGTTTTCTTACCCCTTTATTTGCAAATAAATAAGGTACTGCTTTTGATTCAACATAGGGAAAAACAGGACCAGATGATAAACACTTAGGTTTCAATTATGTCAAATGAGACACCTTGACCAATATTGTGCTTTATATGCCAATGCTTTAAGCCAATCTTTGGTAGCAGGGAGACCAGAGAAACAGGTATTTTACATCTTTCTTCAACTAAAACTCTAGTCAGTTGAAAAAGATTCTAAGCTTTTGCAGTCCTCAAATGTGCTTCTTTTAAAGTTAATTTTGAATATACTATTGGCTTTTTTAATGAACGTCAGGAAGTAAACAATTAGGGAAGAAAGAAAAACAGGAAGGAAGTTAACAAAATGAAAAATCGGGGAAGGGATTAAAAAAAAGAGGTGTCATTCATCTCGTACATCTGACTCATTGCTGCATATTAGTCAACTAGTAATCATTTACCAACTCTGATATAACAAAGGTTTGTTACAGAAAATGTACTTTACAGTGTAACAGGATTGAATGATTTTCATTCCTAAATGTTTAAACAGGATTCAATTCATTCGCTTCTCATTGTCTTTCCATCCTAACTTCCCTTGCACCCCAGTTAAGCACATTACAATGGGTACTTACAACAGCAACAGGATCATTGCTTCGGGTGGCCGCAAGGCTAAAATTCTTCACATGCGTGTTGGTTTCTAAGGCCTTTGCAAATTCCTTCAGTGTTGGAATTGGTATGTTCTTGAATTAAAAATAGCATTTCACTCTCTTGAGATACACAAGCTTATCCTCTCCCCCCCAACTTCTTCCATTATCTTATTCTCCTTACTGCAAAATGTACTACGTTAACTATCACTGATCTGCATCAGCCTCCAAGTAAAGGCTGATGTGTGTAGCAAAGCTATATGTAAGACGCAATGGCTATTAGGGTCACCAATTCTACAAAGCAAAGTCATCTTCACTACATTGATGCTATTGCCACAACACAAGTGTTAAAAAAATATTTAGCTGACTTGGAACTGTTACGGAGCAGCATTTACATGAACTGAACGTTCTGCTATGTATCAGCATCAAATTAACCTCTCACAACTGTAAAAGGATTTAGAGCTTTAATCTGGTGAAACCATTAGCATTTCATTCTGTGTTCTATTAAGAATAATTCTAGAATTTGCCAGTTTATAGTTTGATAATTTTTACAGTGTAGTAGCAACCAAGCTTAAAAGGAATAATTTTAGATAATTAATTAGGGTAGAAAATTTCTCAGTTTATTATATCAGACATTTTGTTCTGTTGCCTTTTTAGGAATTTATTTGTGCTAGCATTTCTCTACTGTATAATATTCTTAAACTATGTATTCTATTTTCTTCCTTTAGTAAGGGCAACAAATAGCCTAGGCTGCTAGCGAGGCTGCAGCTAGCAGCCTGTTACTGCTGTCTGCACTGTAAGTCAGGAGGGCTACAGTTCTGCTTTCTTTCATGCAAATACACAAAAGTTTTAGTCGTGTTTAAAAACACCACTGTTACACTTATGAGCCGATGCTGCCCTAATTGCTGACAGCTCTTTTGTACAAGAATCAGAAGGATGTCAGGTAGAAATATCACTTTGTTTGCGGTAGCAGTGACTGAGAGCACATTGCTTCACCAAGGACAACGGATTCAAAGAAGTAGTTAACACTGCGACAGCGAACTGCTGGAACTGTCGCCAACTTGGCAGCAACAGCAATCTGAGCTGGCAGTAAGAAAATCTAAGGCTTTCTAAATACACATATAGCAAAAGAAACCAAGATGGCTTATCAGTTTCGCCCCAGGTTTCTGAGATTACACACACTGCAACATTTAGCAGAAAGGCTGCTGCACTTAAAATAAGCCTGTCATGCTCTCTTGCAGAGTTTCGCAACTTGAAGTGTCTTCTACTGAGAAAAAGCAGCATATTTATTGCATGCTTCAGGTAATTACCTTAATGTTATTTAGATTAACTTCAACAAGACGGGAATCATTATCTTTAATCCTTTGCAGTGTCTCCTCCACATTTGTAGGATTTGGCGGTTCATCAAAAACAGGCAACATTTTTTCACCTTTTACTATATCTGAAAAGGCATCTAATTGTAATCAAACAGGTCACATACATCCATTGTGAATAGATGATACACATACTAAATGTTTACTGTATTTAAAGATCATTTTATCAGTCTTAACATCTCTCCCGCACCCAAAAAGCATACTATCCTCTCCTGACCACATTTTCATAAATTCTTTTCCAAAGGTCCTCACAGCCTTTCAGCTTTTCTTGCACACCAGCTTTTTTCAGAAAGCACACAGGAGTTGAATTACAAACACAAACATGAAATCTAAACCCAGCACTCACAAATGCATGTTTATGCCTACTTTTGTCCCCCCCCCCAAGTGAATTAACTGCGGAATAGATTTTAGTGTACATAGACATATTTTAATTCCACTCTTGCCAGATCTCAATTAGCAATGTTACAGACATGCACATTTCCAACTCAAGACTGAATAATCTATAAAGAGTGCTAGTGCAACAGAAAATAGTAAATGTGATAGTAACTGCGTGCAGGACAAAGAACTCATTTATCTAGCACTTTCGTACACACTTACTTGAGAAGCTGTCTTTGTCAATCCCATTGCTACTTCCTACTACATCACAGAACTGGTTGTTTGTTATCAAGTTGGACATTCCCAGTATAGCTGTAAAAAGAGAAAAAGCAAAAAAAACAATTGTACTGTTCCCGAATAATTCAGCTCAGATGCACAGTTCTACAATTGATGTTTGTAGAACACCCAGTTATCAGCACAACAAGTCATTCTGTCTCTTAATAATTTAAAGAAAAGTAGAAACAGATTTAATTAATTATAGACTTTTTAGTTGGCCTTCACATCTTAGAAAGGTTTGACCTGACCGGGTTCAAGCATCAAAGTTAGAAGTGCAGTTCAGTAACAAAACACTTGACAGAAGCTTTAAGAATACAGGCACAGAGCAACACATTCATATATGCAAGAAAAAAAGGAAAAAAGCAGTAGCATACACAACAAAAAACAGTCAGTCTAAGGAATGAACTTTAGGTTTTGAGTTTGAAAATAAGATCTCTTATGCAGGCCAAAATAATCTCCCTTCCTATAAATTGCCACAAATCAACAGAGGTGATACACTACAACCAAAGCGGCATATAACATGTTCTAATTACAACTAGTTACATGTTCACAGTTACAACTTCATATAGTCACATTTCAGATAAAAAAATACCCTACCATGTTAATTATAGATCTTTCTTATCTAAATATGCACCAGCCCATTCATACTTCAAAAAAACTAACCTGCAAGGTCACCTAATTCTGTGTCTGTGGCACTGGTCAAGGCTTCCTCCAGTTCTGGATCAAGACAGAATTTTTCTTCTGTATAAGATTGTACAGGCTTTTGCTTGGGGATAAATATTTTCCCTGGAGTAAAGAAAATGAAAAGTCTGATGTTAGTTTGTATTATCTAGATACTTACCTTTAAACTTTTCTGTACTTAAGGGATACATATTACATTTAGCAAATTCTGAGAGGAGCACCAAGGACACCTTGAAGGAATGAGGTTTCTTATGTTCGTGAAGGTCAGAGACAAAGAAAAAGCATAAGCAGGAATATAACATTACTTCTTCCTGTATCATGACTACAATCTTATTTGTTTCGCTGAATAATTAGAAAGTAAAATATAAGCCTCCATGATACATTTGAAATAGCCTAGAAATAGTGACTGTAAGGAAAATTTAGTATCACTAGAGAACAATGACTGGTATCCTCTCAAGGGAGAAAGGGACCCAAGCAGAACTGTAATCTGAATGTGTCACAGAAATAGAATATCAAAGAATCATCTGAAATCATGGACCTGAGCACTCACTGCAGTTTTACAGCATACAAGATATTTCTGATTTCGGATGCTAACTCAATTTTGAAGTAAAAAAGTAGATGCCTGAGCTGCTTGAGAAAGCCACGGTTTGTGGACGGCAAAAACCAAGATAATAGATTTCTCTGCCAATGACACTATTTTCTGAAAAGATACTTAGAAAGGTCATGGAAGATTCAATGGGAAAAAGAGTAGTAATATCACATTCTCCAGTGACTGTTTAGTCATTACAGACAGGTAATGGAAAAAGTTGTTTTAGGAGACACACATTACAAATAGAGGTCTGTGTAGTTAGCATGATTCCTGCATATATCTTCAGCTGAAAAGTTAGGGTAAGAAATCAGAATATGAGAAAGCTATTCTAACAGTTATTCTGAAAACAGTTCAGATTTGAATGATTTAGAATTGGCCTTTCAAAACAAAGAATTCTACTACTACATAAGAACCCAGGAGAGGTAAGAGGTGCTTAGGTTCAGCACAAATGAACATGGCACGTAAAAGCTCCCAATAGTGTATGAGAGAACAAAACTGATGCATTTGATAGAAATAATTCACAACTAGAAAACTGTGGATCTAATCTTCACAGTTTTTCAAAGCTTTTCACACTCTCCAAGTTGCCTGAGCTACCAGCTGACAGAGCTGTGGAAAGGGGTTCCACCTTCCTTTAGTTATTTCCCGGAGTAGAAAGCAGTGTTGATAACTTCCCTGTGAAGCCCCAGTGCTAATTCAGGAACTCACCCCTCTTCCATATTCATAGCAGGAAACCATTTCCACATACGAATCATACTAGCTCCTCCCAATTACACAATGAAAACCCACCATGCACCAGAATCAGACCAGCTGGGCAGAAGCCTAAGATTTTTTTTCCTTGTACTACATACAAGTGTATCTTGTTACATGTTTGGACTAAGTTTAGCATTTTTACATACCTCCCAGTGACAAGAAGCTTTATAGGATGTTCCAGTTTTATTTCTGGGAAATTCCAGCCAAGTGGGATTTTGGTTTCACCATTTGTGGGAAGCAATGCCTGAAGTCAGCTCCCGCATCCCACAGCGGACACAGGTATAACCAAATCCAGCCACCTTTTCTCTCTCTCCAAATTCCCACCCTAGATTACAATAGTGTGTGGGTCATTTTCTTTTTAAAGGCACTGAATGCATTACCACCAACACAGGTTACAATGAAGTATATCAGGTTTTCCTCTGACAACACAGTCTGATGACCATGATCTGTTGCTAGCAACACAGTATTTTTGTTCCTGTGTTGCTACCTCTTTGCAAAGTTGTATAAATGATCATTATCCATATTTAGAAGCAGAAAATAAATCTCCTTACATAACTGTACTGACTACAAACAGTAGCTGAAAGCAGCTGACATGCATTACCACCCATACCTCAGGTTTGATGGACAGTGCAAAAGAAACTATGTTTGTGGTGATTCAAGAGTAAAAGAAAACCTTTATAAATTTAAGGCTTAGGTAGTAAATGTTTAAGATTATTTTGATATAATTGATACAGTACATTTCTACCCCCATTTTATTTTACCAGCATCACCTGCTGGAGAGAGAATAACTTTCAACTTAAATTATATTTTTCAGAAGAGATATGAGAATGTTTGACGTGGTTTTCATTAACCCATGAAACACTCTGAACAGCATACACATGATCTAAAGCCTTTCATTAGCTCTCTTGGCACTGTTTTTCATCAGTAATACAGACTAGTAAAAAAAGTGAGGATTTCAGAGTACAAAGCAGGAGAAGAGAAGGAAAGTGTGATGTGAGCACCTGAGCCTTCATTGATGTCATCCTATTTGCAGCATCAGTGCAGCAGACAGGGAGTGGGAGAAGGAAACTGATCTCAGTTAAAAGCAACTTTGTAAAAATGTATTTCAACTTAGATCAGCTTCCTATCTGGTTCATCACACAGTACCCACAAAAAAGAACTACTTTTCCTGACGTTACTTTCAGTAATTATTAAATTCATAGGTTAGGAACTTCTTGTTCTAAATATTTGCTTCTTAGAAGTAAGACCAAATTTATTTATACGTACCAATTGATAGCCTAAAAAATAAAGTATATTCAGTTTTTATTAAAGCAAGAATGTTAAAAGCTGCTCCCCTCCAGAAACATTAATTGCAGCCAACTCCAGTCACATGAACTGGGTCAGGAGCAGTTTTTGTTATAAAACAGGTCATGCCCTTGTGTATATAATCTGTCATTTACTGGCTTCATCTTGTCCTAGCCCAGAGTTCAGAGGTTTACAATGCACGTATGAAAGCAGGTTTCCCCACTTCTAGTAACGAACTTAATTCAGAAAGGGTAAGACCCCTATGTCTCAGGGGACAATGATCTAACTCAAGGCCTCCTGCCAAGACAGTCTGGCAATTCCCTTCCCCCTCTTACTAATGTAAGCTTTAAAATAATAAAAAAAAAGACTACAGATCTGTGCAGCCCATGAGATGAATAGCTTTCTCAGCCCTCAAGTGGAATGTATCCAAATAGCAGGGAATTGATCACATGAAGGAACACAACATCCTCCTTTTCAGCCAACTAGGATACTGCAAAGATTAAGCAATACAACATGAAGAGGCAAATTTCAGAGATGTTCACATCATTTCTGTAATAATTATATATTCAGGTCTTCTATGCCTTTAGCCAACATGTTAAATGATGCACATCTTGGGATCAATTTGCAGGCTTTCTTTGCTACAGAATGAATTTCCAGTTGCAAGTTCCACACCATTGCATTGTTCAACAGGCAGAAACGCTGCATGATGCCTGCTGAAGTGCCGTAAACATTTCATACATGGAATTACAGTATCTGAGGTGGGACTGAAAATCTTACAGAAATCAAGTGTGTTCCGTGTGGCCATGCACTGCGTATTGCTGGTTCTATTCTTATATATCCCACAGTGCTACTCCTACGCTAGTAGGCAGAAAGCAGCCACGACTTGCAGATCAGAAGAAAGTCTACAATCCACTTTGCAGTACTCTGTTTGCAGAAAAGGAATCAAGTGTCACCTGAGGACAACCAAATGCAAGCTCGTCTCATCAGTGACTTCACGAAGAAGAGCGAGCAATATCTGATGTATTCCTTACATCTTATGCTCCTTAAAGCTTCATCAGTCCAGAAATTTATATAATCCTCAGCTCATCAATCATCAGTTCTTACCATGTGACAGACTTGGGTTCATCAATTCACTTGTAAGGACTGATTTTCTTAATTCAACTTACAAGTGAACTCCTCAGTGACTTACTGTAGAGACAGCACTGTTATTCATTATCTGATTACAGAGCACATAGCAGTGAGTTAGAAAACTGTTTTACATTAAGGCTAGAGTTTGTTCCAGTGGTCTTGTATGGAGAATGTCAATTCAGCAAGTTGTTTCTCCAAAGCTCCTCCAGGATATTAGCTTCGTTTTACAACATGTAACACTTCCTTTAAAGACCAGCGATTGAAAGGCAGGCGGAGAACATGGTATCCCAAATCCTGCTGCAACAGAGCAACAGCTGAGCAGGGCAGCACCAGGAGCTCTAGCCAGGAGTATTTTCTGGGTGACAACAACATTAAAGCAGAAGTTAGATGAAATGCACGTCTACACAGAACAAACACACCCCAGCAGAAAAGCAGAGGGAGAGTTGGAAGAGAAAGCCATGACTAGTAGAGGGCAAAGGCTAGAAATGTAAAGCTTAGTTTACATAATGTTTTGCTAATGCCTTGCATTATGCAGCACAAAGTACATTACTGATGTTAGATAAGTTTTTATTTCAGGTGCAATAATTCTCATCTTTTGCTGTTCCAAGAGCAATGAGGAGCACTGGTCAGACTTGGTCAGACATGTGGAACACACTCGAGGGCAACAGACTTCAGTGCTGAAGCCTCGCTTCACTGTTTAAATGAGATCCTTCTCCTTGCCATATGCCTTATAAAATCTTTATGACATACATAGATTGAGACAAAGCTAGTTTTGTTGAAATTATTACCACATTTCTCTCATGAATCTCTTGAACAGTGGTTTACTGTATGGTTCAACACTTAATTGGAACAGAATGTGACTTCAGTCATTAAATCATGTTTGAAAACAAAGCATATTTTTAAGGATGCTTTGAGACACAAAATCAGGCACTGAAGAAATGCAGTAGAATATAATTTAGCGATTGTTAAGCATCATATTTCTTTAGCACTGTTCATCTCGCTACACCAGGACACTTTACACTATTTCTGCTCTTCCACATTCCATTGCACACAGCAAAAAGTGGTTCCAAAGATTTGGAGGAATCACGTCATCTATCAGTGAAAGAGAGGCAACATTGTTTTAATGACATGTTCCCCCAAAATGAGGTACTTAAGACAACTGGAAGAGAGGATTTTCCTTTACACTGTAGTAAGGAAACAAGGTTACCAGAATCAGGAGCAAGCCAGGATGTTTAAAATTAACCCAGGGTAAGCTTCTTTGATAAACCTGTAGGCCAAATCACCACACAGGACATCAGTTCTACTAAAATAAGAAAAGTAAAGAGAAGGGTAGACTTTCCTCTTCTTACTCCATGAAATGAATAATTAGACCAAGTTAGAGCAATGAGACCAGCCATGCACACAGAAATATTTTAGCAAAGCCTAACTCATAAAAATGGCACCAAGAAAATAGCTGCAACTCCAATCCATCTCTCTCCCCCCAAAACCTCTAGATCTGATGGCTACGATTGTCAGTTTTCTTCTGAATTAACATGATAATCAAGCAAGATTTTCACCTACCCCTATTCCCCAATTTGTTAGCGTTTCTCCAAAATACATTTATCTAGCCAAAGGGAAAAATTATAAGCCAGCTTAGTTGTTTGGTTGGTTTTTTAGTATTAAATAAAAGCACGCTAGGATAAGAGCTCCCTCTAGATAAAAAACATCCTAGGCAAGTATTAAGTTTTGCTCCACTCTCTTTCCAAGTTTTACATCCAGATAAAGATAATGATTTCTTGATTTAAAAGATTAAGTTACATAGGTTTGCCACTTTTATGCAAAATGGCTACAAGCATGGCAGCAAGTCAAAGCTGAACCATAATATTTTCATGAGGGGAAAAGAAAAGGTTATCCCTCACCTGCTACAAAATGAACTTAACCTTCTTGCCTCCTCCCGCCCATTTGACAGAGCATGAATTTCCATACTGAACATTTGTTTCCATGGTTTTAGTTTTAATGAAAATAAGCTACATTTAATTTTTCATGCTATTTTCTCTTCTTCTATGGTGCTAAAATAAATGGTAGAAAAAGTTATTAAACAACAACTCCTTTTTTTTTAAAGAGATTTGGGAAATTTTACGAACTAAACTGGTATGACATATTGCAACATCCAGACAGACTGCTATTTAGTAATACTTTATTACATAAAGGAAATGACATTTGATCTTTCTTAATCAAGATCTGCGTTACAGCTGGACCCTTCTGTTTCTCTACATGATTCTCACAGATCTTATCTACACATAGTTTTGTGTGCGCATGTATACATAAGCTAACTTTAAAGAACCACCTATCTCAATGAAGCACTAGTATTCAGTACAAAAAGTAGTACTAACTAGAGCAAATCCTCCACGCCCAGCCTCACATCCTGGAGGAGCGGTATATGAGCTAGCCAGGCTGCAAGGGATTACCCAAACCAACTATGAGGCCCAAATATACGTGAACTCAGTCACGTTAAACCATTAGGCTGTCTCCAACATACAGTAGCAAATGTCAGCCAAGAAGCAGAACAGGGGAGAAAGCAGCGGCACACTGCAGAGCCAAACACAGGATCAACAGGTACTTGCCAGCAGTGGAGATACCATAAAGGTACTGCTGCTATAGGTACCTTTGACTGCCTTCTACATTCAATACATTACATTATCCTTAATTTGGTTACTCTCTTCAGTCAGCAAACTCCTGTCCGCCTGTCAGTAAAGGAATGTCAGAGTTATCTCTCAACAAAAGTGGTGTTAAGCTACACAGATAAGGCAAAACACTGTGTATTAAGGAAGTAGTACATCATATACAGTGCAGCACATTATAAATGCCCAGTTTCTCTGTTACTTCAAGGAAAAGAGAGACCAACATTGTCAAGTAACAGCTATCTGGTACAGGCAGAGAAAATGCAAATACCCTCAACAAAATTTTCACTGAATATACACCACAATCACAATCACAGATACAAACTCTGTAGATGAACGAAGACTCACACCTGAAATAAGCAACAATTCATGCCAGAGAACTCAGTAGGATTAAAGAGTTTCCAACCCTTAAGAAGAGAGAAGCCTCTTCATCTTGGGCAGTTGCAACACAACCTATTAAACAATTTACTGAAGTTGGACTGCAGCAGATCTCCCTGCTGACAGGGAAGATTCAGCCAAGCTAGGATTCACAAGCAGTACGCAAACACCATGGCAACAGCTAAAAGCCTCCTCCTATGCATACGTGCCCAGCACAGGACTGGGAGTTTCTGCCCTTATCAGCAGTGCTTAGTAAGGCACAACAAATTTGGAAAATCTTGTTTTGTGGGGAAAAAAAATAAATATTGTAAGAATAGATTTATTTAAGACGCACATTCTTTTTTAGTTTTCTCCTGACAAGGAAAAGGCTTCCCATCAAGTCAATGAGAAGACTAGATGCAAAATTTAAAATCCCAGGCTTTAATAATGTGTCCACTCATTGGGTGAATCTTTCCATGGTTTTTAGACCACAGACCATTGCCAGATTTCAAAGCTTCTTGTGATGTAAACTATGCACTTAGTTAATTATGCAATCTTATTAAATCTCTCAGTAAGGATACTAGAAAGACAACATGATTGCATACACCACTTGCCTGGCCTTGTCAGCCTACAATGTCTTTGAATGTTACTGAGTATCTACCACAACATCATTCTACTGCTATTTTTTAAATTCAACATAGTAATGCAAATGTCACTGTCTGTACGCAGCACCACAGGCACAACGACAGCATTTGTTATTATTCACTAAATCAGGGGTAGCTCTTACTTTGAGAATACCATCCCCATCAGAACTTTGCAATCTTTGATAAAAATCTTTGAGTCTTACTTCCTTCCTGTGCTACATGCAAACAGCACGCCAGTCCCAGCGCCACAGGAAGCATCCCGCCTCTGCACAGTAGCAGTCATTTGGAAAAGCCGTGAGTTAAAAAGCATTAGAGCTGCCAGTGCTTCACTAAACTTTGGTTCACAGTAGTTCTGGGTAGTCCACTCCAGAGATTTCATAACCACCTACACCGGAAAGGGTGGTGTTACCTTTCTTTTCTTTTGTAAAAGGCACATAGTCTTCCCTGTCTTTGTGCTCAAGAGCCTGCTTCTCCAAATACGCAAGGAGTCGCTCCCTGTCGAAGGGACCTGAAGCCTTTTTAGCAGTCTGGTCTTTCTGCCGGAAGCCCGCAGGCAGAAGCGCGTTCTGCAAAACAAAATGGAGCAAACAAGCACAGCTTAGGAAGTCTGAGTGAACACCTGTTTAGTTTCATTTCCCTCTTCCTTCTCCCTCTCCCCAGGGTTCAAACCCGATACATCACATCCTTTTTAGGCAATCTTTGATCCCTTACCAACCTCTTTTTTTTGTGGCAGGGGAGGACGCAAGGTAATCTACTCGTTAGATATCAAGAATATAATTAAAAATAGAGCACATTGCACTCTGAATAGAACTGAAGCAATTCTTTACATCCAATAGCTCCCAGCACTAGACTTGCTGGTTACTTTGCATTTCTCTTCTAGAATGAACATTGTTTAAATGAGTAGTAGTAAATAAAACTCAGCTATTTACAGTTTAGACATTCAGCAAGACGACTGCTTCCTCCATCACTTATATCCATCTGTTTCTAAGTCTTTCAGACAACAGCCTATACTATTGTCCAGTATTTAACACAGTATTTCTGCTTTTGACCCAACTCGAGGTGGGGTGTTTTTTTGCTATCATCAACATATTTCAGCTAAAGAAAAAAAACACAAAACAAAAAAAAGGAGGCTATAGTATGGAAAGAACAGAACGTATAGAAATTCAGACTGTTGTAAAAGACGAGTAAACACTTTTGACAATTCTCGTCTGTTAAAAAGTCTATAAAGCCAAAAACAATTAAAACATCAAGCATATCTTGCAGTGCAACAAAATAGGTGATCATAATATTCTTAAGTGATCCCTGAACATCAAGCTTAAACTTAATCCTGGTCCTATTAAAACAAGAAAAGAGAATCAGGAGGTGAAAACACAAGTCTTGGACTCTGACTTTAGCTGCAGTATCAGCAGAGGACATATCTCACCTCTTTGTAACACAAAGCTAAAATCTTCCTTATTCAATATCCCATGCTGACATAATCATTCGGGAGCTGAGAAATTATTTGCCTCCTCTTTGCAAAGTCAGCACAAGGACAGGAATAGATATAGGCTACCAGATACAGGACTAGGAGTCTTTAGCAGAGGTTAGCATCGTCCCTCTTCCATCAAACTCCAGTGGTAGAAGCAACAAAAAAACGGATGCAAAAGGGCTGACAACACCAGAGAACACTGGAAACAGGAAAGTTAAACAAGCCTTTTTAAATAAACTTTCTTTTCAAGAACATGACTAAGAGCAATTTTTTTATTTATAAATGAATCCCAGAAAGTTCCTCCTGGCAATCTCTTCTTCCATTTTCCTCTACTGCAGTTGCATTCAAGTTGCAAACAGGAAATAAACAGCTGAAACATTGTATACACATATATATCTGTAAATAAGATCCTAGCAAACTAGGAAAAAACTCTGCCCGAAAGTATACTGTTCAAGTAAAAAAAAAGTCTCAATTCATTTCAGACTAGTTTCTGAACTAATGAAAAAATAAAACTTCTCTTGGCTAATACCTACCTCAGGGTCAAGGTCATCTAAAACAGTTTCCAGTTGCTTCAGTTCTTCTTCTGAAAGTTTGCCAAGAATTTCATCCTCATCGAGATCTTTGTACTTGTCCAAGTCCTTTCGAAACGGGAGTGTCATGACTTAGGAAGTGGCAAGTCGCTCAAACACTTGAAAACCCAAGTCTTATTCTTAAACAGATCTGTAAAAAGAAAGTTTTGAAAAGAAATAACCATAGTTAAGATAAATATCTCAATTACAAAGCATCTTCCATCTCCAAATACATCTCTCAAAGGAAAGCTTTTCGATCCAGTATTCACATCCATCTGTTACTCTACAACAGACAAAGAGCACTGGGAAGCAGCCTACACCTTGCTTCTTCACGGACAAGAACCCTGTCCTGCCATGCCCTTTTCCATCAATAACTAAACTATATATATATTTTCAGATGAATGCCAGTACCCAGTTTTCTTGACGAGAACTCCAAGACCATAATTCCGACACAGCAGCACAGGCTGTAGGGCAGGAGGGAGGAGTTACCAACCTAGTATTTATGCATCCAGCTTAACGCCATTGGTTTTTACAGATGCTGCAGTCAAAAGAAGAGTTAAGATGTTTTACATTGATTGTTGTTGCTGCTGTTCGAGGGCAGTAAAAGAGAACTTCACTACAAACAAGTTAATTGGTTATTACTGACTCATATCCCTGTGTATTACCTACGGAGGGAACAAAGGAAGTTTAATTATAGCACTACCACTGAAGTAACATTCTGTTCTGTCCAAGTAACACTAAAATACCTCGATGAAAGGCTCAGGGAATACAGCTTCTAAGTAGCAGCGCTCCAGTCAATGTTGCTACCAAAAAAAAAAAAAGGAAAATTGGGGTTCTTCAAAATATGTACAGTCTATATAGCATTTCTCACAGACGAGGAGAGCACAGGGAACATTTTTCTAACAGTCACAATTTTTGAGCATTTGGTTTGGAAAAACAAACAGTTAATCACAACAAAGTTCAAGCAGACAAGTCGGTTTCTTCTCATTTTTCTGTAAGAAATTCTGGGATTCTCTTTTTGTTCAGCTAAATTCTTGCTTCAAGTAGAGCAGACACACAAAAAAGGTAACTTGAATGACTCTCTAAGTGAGCAAGAGCGTCCATAATGTATTTGTGGAGCAAAAGCCAGATCCATACATTCAGGCTCATTAGCCTCCCTTACCTCCTTCTCAGCTCTATAGAAATACCCAACACAGAGATCAGACATACAGCAAATATTTTTTTTTTTCTCCAGTAGCCCACATTCCAGTTCAGATGCTCACACTGCATACATTAACTGCATTACTTCAAACCGGCACTTAACACTGTACTTCAAAAACAGATCAATTTAAAGTTACTGTCTCTTAAGTAAAAGCAGGTCCGTATACACACACACTATACCATGGCATCCTGCTTACAGGATTCCTTCACCCCACTTGTTTACATCAAGAAAGGTCTCCCTGGCCGTCACAGTTACATACAGTGATATTTTAATTCAGAGACACTGAACAGACATGAGCAATAAAGATTCAACTATGCCATTCAGTCAAGTTTACCTGTAAAGTAAATCTGGTTTTAACAACTGCTTTTACAAGAACAGTAAATTTTCAGTTCCTACCAACACCTACAACTGAATGAGGAATGTATTTACAGCTATTTTCAGGAAGTCTGTTTTTAAAAAATGTTAGTGATACTAACACTAGAGCTTACTTGCAAACCACAGTGGACATTGATAGGACATAATTCCAAAGCTGAACAACTGACTTCGGTTAAGGTCTCTTGAAAATAACAAAAAACAGAAGGAATTCTTGATTTCGTTGTAAGTTATGTCAAAACAACAGTGGCTTCCTCTGAACTAAGACCAACCATGTTGGAAGATCTTGGACCTTTTACAAGAGGCCACATAGCTGAGAACATCCGAGTTCAATGGTTGCAGAAAATGCAGAGGGGAGCACACCTATGTTTTTCAAAGCCATGTTCCAAAAGTAATGACAGGAGTGTCTCTACGGCCTAGCATGCCACCTCTTACAGTCTCCAGAGTCTCGTGGTATTTGCTTCTCCAGGTGCATAACAGCTGAAGCACAATTAGCTGATAGCTGCAGTAGACGCCGCACAATCTGCACGCACACTTCTCATTCCTAGAGCCTGAATGTCTTCTCCTTCCTTACACATTAAGCCATTACACACTATCATGAGAAAAACATTTCCTGCAGCCAATTACACAGCATTGTCTGTGACCAGGCTGCACCATCTGAATCCTACACCAACATGCTGCTATTTACTGCATTTCTGCATGTCCATTTGCATTCAAATATTAAAAGGTGTAGTTCTAACAAGTAATTATAAGGAGCAGAATAGTTAACATATTGCAGAATAATTCTCCCCTTACTCTGATGGAGAGTTGCACCACATAACCATACATTACATTCACATGGGCTATATTTCCTCTCCATGAATCGCTGTAAAATGCCACCACCCAGAATTAATTACGTTTTATTTACTGCATTGGTATGTTTTACATTGGAAAACTACTCATCCTTTATAATACTTTAATGTTCAGGTCATAGCCCTTAGTCTCGCTTGTTTTTACAATATGATCAAAGTAGCCATTTCAAATCCTGAGCTACAATGTTCACACACACAAAAGCAAAGAATAAAGCAGCAGATCAAAAATACTCCACTATTTCTCTAACAGAGTCTTCACTTCAGCAAGAGGAAGAGAATCACATGTGGCCTGGCAAATTTAAATTTAAAGAGTTTTGGACACATTTTCTAATACCTATCAATCAAAAGTATTTTTTAAAATATGAACGCATACTTCACATGAGACACCTTTAAAAAGTTATAATGGTAGCACTGATTAGCATGTCTGTACTACATAGAGATTGCTTGGTAATGACTTTCAGAAACGTTCCCTCCAAAAGAAACCAGCATATATGACATTCGTATATAACATGCTAAAAATCAGGTTTTAAAACATGGTGTCAGGAATTCTCATTGCCTAAAAAGGGCATAAAGGCCAGCTGGAGCCCTAATCTAATCAAACAAGCCCCTCCACCTCCTGTTAAACACATTTATTACTCTATTTGCTTTCCATCACTCACTGCAGCTGTGCAGCTTCGAGAATGATACACGCGTAACAAATTACAAGTTTTTAGAAGGAGAAGTTACCTAGACTGTGAACACTTGTGGCTCATCTTACTACAAAATCATAGGCAACACTGTAACCATCAATTTTGGCTTTGCAAATAGTTTGTGCTTTTTTGATCAGCAGAGCTAGCTTCCTTCCTAGCTTTACCACGAAAACATTACATACGTCAAAAGACAAAAGGGCTAGTATTCCTTTTTCAGATATGTAACTACAAGGTCAACTAAGTTGCTCACCCTAGCACCTTCTTAGTTGCATAAGAAACATTTGGGGAAATGGAAACAAAGCCATCACTTCAAATCAATCAAATTTCAATTCTCTGTTCATGAAGCAGAAGCGAAGTTGAAAAATCAGAAATGAAGATATTCTGCTGGGCATCACAAAGACAAAAACCTCGCCATTGTTCCTTCACCTGAGAAACGAATGAACTAAAGAAATTAGAATATAGCAGTAACTTTACTTTAGGCCATTTTATAATTACCTGAATCATCCCCTGAAAGACTGTCAAGCAACTTTCACGCAACTCTTATCTACAAGTTAAAATATTTTTGTTTTCTCCTAATTGAAATTGTATTTGAAAACCAAAAGATTCTAAAAATAGCTAGTTTCCCATTTTCTTTCAAATACTCACCCTCCCGAAATTTCTGTTACACTTAAGGACACAATTTCTTAGGACCCTAACAAGAGTAACTCTTTAGAAACATCCTGCCCACAGGAAACCGCAGTCTCGTTAAAGTCCACTGTAAATGCTCTCTGTAACTTGGGTTTTAAACAGAAGTGACATCATGAAAAACAAACCAAGCCGGTTTTGGCCAGCACGTTTGCAGAGTTCACTTTAATCTCATTTGTTCTTTCGGAGCCTCCTTCCACCCAGCCTCTGGGTGAACGGAGAAGACTAACCTGAGCATTTCCCCAGGGAACCCTTACGATGGCAACAATTTCATTTTCCAGTGTCCAAGATTATACAGAGCTGTTCATGAAAAGAATGCTGCACTTGAAAGAGCTACATTTACCAAAGCTAGGAGAAAAATGAGTAAATATAAATATTACCATAATGCCAGCAGGTTCCTTATGATGTTTTTGCAATGCCATAGGACAACTCTGCTGAACAGCCCAATGCTGCTTTTCTTAGCAAGCAAGCTCTCAAGAACCCCCTGAGCCTTCTGCGCGACAGGCCTGTGGCAGGGTGCAGGAGGCAGGTTCCCCTGCCCGGGGAGCCAGCGGGCCTGCCTGAGCCCCCAGTTTGATGGAGACACCAGGCAGCAGCTCGTCTTTGCCTGCACGTTTCGCCAGGGTAGGTTGTGCTTTCCAGGCAGCAAGCGACAGTTGTTCTGGGCTATCTTCCTACAAAAAACAAGCCTGAGGCTTCGGTCTGTCCAAAGAAACAATTCACTAAGTTTTACAGATGGCAAGTGGAGTTTCCACAACTTTGCAATTGTCCATACAGCGACCGAGGGAGTGGAGGGGAACAGACAGCTCCTGCATAGTAACTACACAACCATGAAGATTCTTCCATGACAAAGGAAATCGGAAAACATCTGTATTTCCAGTTCCTGCCAGCTCCTCCTCTGTATCAGAGGGCACCTGGAACCAGACAAAGCCCACTGTGCTCTGTGTCCTGTATACAACTGCACAGAATGAGGACACAGCTCTCTTGCAGGCAGAGTGCTCCGAGTGACAGCTCAGCTGCCGGGTTGGCATTGTCCCATAAAAACTCCCTCCTGCGCTCCTGTTCTTGAAAACCAGTTGCACGCGTGCTGCAGGGCCGTGTGGCTGTACCCGTCCAGCCCAGGGACCAGCAGAGGCGACAGGGCCAGGCACCCCGAAGTGCGGCTGCGGCAGGCTGCCCGGGGCATGGCAGCAGCAGCCTTGGCAGCCTGGGAGGTGGCATTTCAGCACACCCATCTCCACAACTCTTCCAGGTGTGCTCAGCACACTAGCTGCAGGGCGGGTGTTATGATCCTGAATAAATACAAGGCTGCGATAAGCTAAGAATCCCAGGCACCACAGGAACTGCCTTCCCGAGA